ATGTAGCACGAACCTGTAGTTTACATGTAGCACGAACCTGTAGTTTACATGTAGCACGAACCTGTAGTTTACATGTAGCACGAACCTGTAGTTTACATGTAGCACGAACCTGTAGTTTACATGTAGCATAAACCTGTAGTTTACATGTAGCACGAACCTGTAGTTTACATGTAGCATAAACCTGTAGTTTACATGTAGCACGAACCTGTAGTTTACATGTAGCATAAACCTGTAGTTTACATGTAGCACGAACCTATTTATACCTGGGACTGAACATTTAAATGCACATTTTCTTCTCAATCTACAGCAATTCACTTCAAATCATTTTGATCCTTATGGACCATCTCTTCTTATATACGTATCGCTACATTATACTCTCGAGACTTAAGATGGCACATTAATATGAAATGTACATTTAAGGAAATGAAACGTTCAACCGTGGCATGATTAAGAACATTGGGGCGCTGGAGAGCGTGAAGCTGTACCCCAAGGACTGCTTCATCTTCCACGACATCGACCTGCTGCCTGAAGACGACCGCAACTTGTACGTCTGTCGTGAGCAACCTCTGCATCTGAGCGTCGCCGTGGATACCCTGAATTACAAGTAAGTACCACAATATACAGCATGAAATACAGATGATTCACACAATCTACACCATGAACTACAAGCGAGTCTCGCAATATACAGCATGAACTACTTGTGAGTTACACAATCTTCACCATGAACTACAAGCGAGTCTCTCCATCCAGCAATGGACTACTGCAAATAATATTACTAATACTAACACAAAAAGCAAGTCTCGCCATCCAACAGTGAACTATATTGAATAAATATTATCTGATACTGACCCTACAAGTTGGTCGCGATCGATACCATCCAGCTACAACACGACTGGATTTATCACTTAGCTAGCAGTCACGACGTGAACAGTTTAAGATGACCCGGAAACAGTCTGAGATTTCCAAACGAGGTATTTACAAACTCCATTTTACTCTAGGCTGCCATACGAAAATATCTTCGGCGGCGTGGGCGCAATCTCAGTGTGACACTTCAAGCGAGTGAACGGCTTCAGCAACAAGTTCTGGGGCTGGGGCGGGGAAGATGATGATTTGGCCAACCGCATTAAATACCACGGGCTGTCCATCTCCCTCAACCCCGCCAACATCTCGCGCTACACTATGATCAGGCACGACAAGGAGAAACCCAATCCACACAGGTTTGCTCCAACATGTTTGCCTTAATTTTAATTAAAATCAATTCATTTTGATTCGTTCAGGAAAGTGCCGTCAAACCCGCTCTTCTTGCATCGGTCAGTTGCTGTTCTCAAGCACGCGTTCTCTAAAAGGGAATCCCTGTAACTCCGCTGACTTTGAGACAAGGGGCGCTTATCAGGTGACCCATGAAAGGCCAGCAGTATTAGGAGCAAATCCATGTTCTGTCCCACCACTGGCCATCACTTATTATTATCATTGGCGGTGCGGCTGAAGCTGTTTGTGAAATGCCTGGTGTTTCGATCGATTTAGAAAATTTTTACGAAAACATTATTACTCGCACAACACGCTTGAGTATATGAAATCTATAAATGGTAAGAAATGAAACAGCTATGTTCAAAGTTTCTACTGCGATAGTTTTTATTCATGAATTTTCAAATAATTTTCTAACTATACCAATAGTAAATAAATAGCTTCATGAAAATATCGGGATGTCGGTAAAGAGCGGACTTGTACGTGCAATAACAGTGAAGAAATGTCGAGGAATCATAGCAGTGGTCGGTTATTCGCTTAGGAGTCTGAGTTTAGATTGGAAACTGTGACATTTTGAGGTCACGTTGATGTCTTAGGCTCTATATTCGATCACAAAATTAAAAAAATTAGGACGTCAATAAAACTATTGAAAATCATCACCACAGTGATAAGGAACTATTATATTCGATTGTTTAAACTCTCATTGCGAATCAGTGACATCCCAACGCATCGTCTGTGTTCAAGTCTCAAGTTCTCTAGTTCCTCTTGCTCTGGTTCCAGTCGATGCGCCCAGCATTATGCTTCAGCTTAGTGACCAGGTACGGAACTCGAAGCAAAATCGTACCTTGACTTCCAGAAACTACTATTTACATAATTTCGTTTCTATTTTAAAATATTCTGTAATTAAATTGATGCTGCATATCAGGTTTGAAATGCTGCGCTCGGGCACGAGCCGCTTCGCTTCAGATGGACTCAACTCGGCGAAGTACCGTGTGCTGGACGTACAGCCGCGCAGACTGTACACCTGGATCTACGTCGAACTCCTAAATGCATAACGGCTGGACTTCAAATGTCGAGTGCAGCCTTTTCCCTAGCATAACTTTATTTATTTTATTGATTTTCATTTATTTTTTTAATTGTAATTTGTTACGAGAACAAGTCAGAAGGACATGTTGTTGCGATGATATCAATTTCGTCTCAATACTACGTAATAAAGTTGAAATAAACGTGTAATTTTTTATCCACCTCTCTATATATGTTTTGTGTGTGCTATTAGTTTGTTAATGGGCAGAATAATATTACCACGAGCAGACAGTCGGCACTACCCAAATAAAAGTTAATGGTTGCGCATCGATGAAGGTAGGTGGCGATAGTAAATAATAGGTGGCATAACGGTGGGTGACCAGATCTGCCGAAAATCGGCAATAAAACACGCAATAAATCGAGAGGGTGCATGGCGTGTATAGGTGGGAGTCATCGATGAATCATCGATGATTTATAGGGTCTGAATCATCGATGGCACACTGCTGACGAATCTCTTGTAAGCCACCGATAACCATTTACCCAAACTACACAGTGCACGAAGGTATTTGTCACTGTAATTTATTCAACATATGTATAGGTGTTATTGGGTTGCGGGTCATTCGAGATCGAGACGAAACCATGACTTCGTTCTGTGTGCTTGGCTTCAAGATGAAGTTTTGTTAAGAAAATTTTAGCGCGAATACAGTAGGTACAGGTAAAACTAACAGACAAAAGCAAGGTGTTCACAAAATTTTCAAGCCAAAGTGAAGCCAATTATTTATCTGACTACTCTTTATATAAATTGACCGAGGAACAATCTAAAATTTGTAGCAAAAAATATAGTTTTTCAAAAGATGACAGCGAATCCAATTTTTTATGTTCACATGAGAAATTGAGTAAATTTATTGCGAATTTTGGGTATGCGCCAACTGGCTGTTTTGGAAATATTGCGATCAATTGAGATTAATTATTGTATCAAGTAAAAATTCTATGGATAGATTAAGTGTGTTCTATAACATTTACAATATTTTCTAGTTGCCCCATTTATCTCAACTCTGAAGCCACGTTGGCGTAGTCGACAGCGGCTCGGCATCTCTAAAGCGCAGCGAGCAAGTCAAGTAAGCACATCCCACGTTCACGTTCATATCTGTTGGGTTGACGCGCGTCGGCGTTGAGCTCCTTATAATCTTTACCATGTCTTACTTGATATATGTGCTTTCCGGTAATTTGCTTGTCAAAAAAGTATCCTGTTTACGTAGAGGGATGATTAAAATTTCGGGTTTCTATCGCTGACTTCGATAGTGAAATTTAATTATTTAGAGGAAATTTACCCATACAGTCAGATAATTATTTCGATTTTCCGTCTAAATTTCTACTGGAGTGGTCCCGGTAACTTTCCTACACAAAAGACTAAAGATCAGGCTAGAGAAAAATAGTGGCTCGAAGTGTTGCAGGAAATTAGCGCCTGACATTTCAAAAACCTCGAATAATATCAATTCCTTATTTCGCGCAGGAAAATTCTTGGTTTAAAATATTTCGAATCAAACCGCTGTAAAATTTTGTGTAATGTTCACGTTATGCAACTTCGAGGCTTATTAATAATTTTTCCGTAGCCTTTACTCTGAGCTAAACCATCGTTCTTTATGGATGAACGAATTTTTTTTTCAGTGGCTGTTTACTCGGATAAAGCAGCATGTTTAAATAAAATTTTTGATGGAACCATCTAATCTTCACGGTGGTAGCACTAACCTCTGTCATTTGATGAAATTAATGCTTGCAATACTTCAATTAAATATTTTAAAATGACTCAAGTGCCAAGTCCTCTCCGGGCTCAACGGTAGAGTCTTTGCTTCGCGTGTGGGAGACCGGAATTCGAATCCTGCAGGAAGGGACTTTCTTGAAATCGATTTTTTTCTCACGTGGTATGCGTATGGTACTCTGATAATTTGTTCCTGTTTCATGTCTGATATTGTTACTTATACTGCCCAAGGATGTACTACGGTGCGTATTCTTAACAAGGTCATACAGGAATGCGTGTCTTAACAAATCCCATATTGTTGTTGAAGACCATCGCAGGCAATGAGAGGCGTGGCGTTTCTTACTTCCAATTCACATAAAAGTGAAAGATTAACAAGTAAAAAAGGCTTGTCTAAATAAAGATTGTTCAAACCCTTTTGTGATTTGTAGTGATGCAATACGAGTTACATGTGATAGATCACACATCACACATAGGGTAACATGGGGCAGCGAGCCCACTGCGGGTCACGGGCCCATAGCGGGTTTCTCGCTAAGTATGGCAGATATTGGTCCGTGTTCTCTACCGCCGGTCGACAGTTTCACTGGGATGAAGTGTACGGATTTACGTTTTGCTAATTGTTTGCGTTATTAAGTTATTTGTGAATAACTGTTTTAGCCCAGATAAAAATTTTCTTGCTGCTAAATAAAACTGTTTTAGCTTACTGTATATGAAGCTTTCGAAATTACTGTGAATAATATTTTGAAAGTAATATTTATAGGGATAATTTTGAGATCAAGTTTTGACTTTTAGCTTTTAAAATAAAATATTGACACGATATAAATTGAAATGATACCTATAGTGGGGGCAACGGGCCCACGCGTGTCACGGGGCAAAGCGCCCATGGTGAAGTCTTGTGTTATACATCATTAGATTTGTCTCAATGTTTTTAAAACTATGACTAGCTTTTTGAATGATGAATTACACTTCATATTGCATGATTTTTTGATTTGCCGCCTCAAGGCAGCAAGTTAAGTTTCTAGTTATGCGTATTTATGACCCCTTATCGAGTTATTGACTCTTGCCTTGCCAAAAGTTGATTTCGGTCAACACCGCAATGAGTCAAAAGTTGATGAGTTCTTATGGTGTTGGCTGAAATCACGATAAGGTACGACATTTCTGCACATAATATCTGGATTATGGACGAAACTGGAACGAAGTTTTTCTCTGATCAAGTAAATATATTTTTCTAGTCAAGGAAACATTTTTTCATGTCAAGGACGATTTTTTTATCGCAAGGATATATTTTTCAAGTCAAGGATATACATTTTTATTTCAATGAAATATTTTTTTTTCACGTCAGTGATAGATTTTTTAGGCCAAAAGTATATTTTTTTCAAGCTAAGAATATTATTTTTTGAGTTGTTAATAAATGAATGAATGTCATATTTTTTATTACATTTTTCTTATTTTTACCTGTATTGTGTTGTTTTATCATTTTTAAATTAAAGAATATGCAATTGTGGTAAAAGGTCCAAGGGCCTTGCCCCAAGCCCATGGGCCCATTGCCCCAGGGGTGAGGCTATGGGCCCATTTTGACACTTTTTATAAAATTGTGTTTCATTAAAAATTGAATAACTCTATAGGCGTCTAATTCACATCATACATTCCTCATTAGTTGTACCTTTAAACAAAACATAGAACCACCTCGTATCAATTAAAATTTCATCAAAAATTTAGTTTAAAAAAAGGGAGGGGCGCGCTGCCCCATGTTGCCCTAATATTCGGGAAGAGTGTGATGCAATGGACACCAAGGTGCATTGTTACGTATATTTTCTGTAACAACAAAACATTGTTTTCGCCGCAAATAAGCAAAATGAAGCTAAATCGCAAGCAACGGCGATGTAAAATTTTATTTCACTGAATATTTATGCTATTTTTGCACGCTAAAGGCGGGTGTAATAAACCCGTAGAGTTAAGTGTACTTTGATAGCTTACGCACAATTCCCGTTGACTTTTTAATTTCATATGAATAATTACTCAACAGTTTCACTTTATCAACAGCATTCCTATCACATGAAGAGGGTTTGTATAGGTAAATACTAACAAGGGCTTAGCAACACAATAATTTGAATATTTTATACTTATATTTGCTAAATGCTTCTCCGATTGCACCAAATATTACGCTACCCGTGCTTACTTCCTTCGTTATTTATAGCTGCATATTAGAGAAAAATTTCCAGCATGATTATAAGTACTTTATCCTTCATTGTATTATGGTATTGAAAATCCCGCTGTGGCTTGAAAGAGGGACTCGCGTATTTAAATTAGCGAGGCCCAGAAAAACATTCAGTCTGGAATTAATAGTGTTGCGTGTGTTCGTGTGAGTGTTGCGTGTGTTCGCGTGAGTGTTGCGTGTGTTCGTGTGAGTGTTGCGTGTGTTCGTGTGAGTGTTGCGTGTGTTCGTGTGAGTGTTGCGTGTGTTCGTGTGAGTGTTGCGTGTGTTCGTAGCCTCGTTGGTGCTGATAAGTTAGTCACGAGTTTAATGTTGTTTGTTTATGCCGCGCGTTTGCTCATATGTTTTTACATTTATATTCCTGTCGTTCTGTTCATGCTGTTCACGCTGTTCACGCTGTTCATGTTCGCGTTGAACAGCATGAACACAACTTGTGTGGAACATGGTTTCTTGTAACGTGCATGTTTGTGCTGCGCATTTTCCCAATTATGGGAAAATGCCGCTATTGTGCTCGTCATGTCCGTCCGTTTGTCTGTCCGTCTGACCTTCCGTCTGTCTGTCCGTCTGTCCGTCCGTCTGTCTGTCCATCTGTCCGTCTGTCCGTCAGTCCGTCTGTCCGTCTGTCCGTCCATCTGTCTGTCCGTGACTTCACGTTTTCGTCGACGAGAAAATGCGCTCTCTGTTACTCACTGCAGTGAGTACTGAGTTATATTTTGTTCATTGCTATGTTCCCTAATATGTTATGTAATGGCTCATGCTTTCCACTATGTACTTCTCTTTAACTTCAACTCCTGTTATTTGTCTGCTACAAATCTTATAATCGATATTTAACACACTTCTACCTGTCCAATCGAACTGAAATTTTGCATACTTGCGTAAAATCGGGGACAATGCATGAATCAATTGACAGAATAAATAATTTTACAGATGTAAAGAAATAATATAAAAAATTTAAAAATAATTTTTTTAATATTAAAAAAATAAAATAAGAAATGTATTGGACATGTGTAACATCGGAAAAACTGGCCTCTTTAGAAGTGTTGTCTTTGGGAAGTAATTTT